GCCGCCGTCGCCAGGGCCAGCCCGCAGGTCCGGGCGCAGGCGGATCTCCACCAGCCGGACGGCGCGGAGCAGCACGGCCAGCTGGGAGCACACCCGGGCCACCACGTCCAGCACAGGATCCGTCAGGTCCCGCACGCCGCCCAGCACCTTCAGCAGGAAGAGCAGGAGCGGCTGCAGGAGGCTGTGAAACGCTGCTGCCAGGAAGGGCTTCAGGACATGGTCGCCGATGGCTGTCAGGACACCGACCACCAACGCCTGGATTTGGGGTGAAATCCTGTGTTTGAGGGATTTGCCAGCAGGCGTCACCAAAAATGGGCTGGGACACAAAAATTCTACTGTGGGAGAGGAATTGTGCGACAGTGGGAAATGGAAGTTCCTTCTCCCGATACTGAAGGACTTTGACACATCCTCAGCAGCTGCTCTGGCCGTGGCTCTGCGGGAACGGGGCGGCTCACCTGGACCACGGCCTCGCCAAGGAAGCGGATCAGCTCCACCAGGAAGAGGCTGAAGACGCTGACCAGGCACCGCGGGATGGCAAAGAATTCCCGCAGCTTCCGCTGAATCGTCCACTCGGAGCTGCCATGGAGAAAAAGGAACGTCAGAGCCAGAGAGCCGAGCTGCTGAGGGGATGGATCTCCATCGTGGAGCAGATCCGGCATCCCAGGCTGCTCCTTGGCAGCAAACCCCAGCTCCACAGCCAGCCGGTCAACGATGAGAAAGCGCTGGAGCTGCGTTTCCACAGGTCTCCTCATACAGCCCAAACCCGCCTGAAGTAACCCACGGGTCCATCAGGATGCACCCAGAGTAACCCACGGGTCCATCAGGAGGCACCCAGAGTAACCCATGGGTCCATCAGGAGGTACCCAGAGTAACCCACAGGTCCATGGGGACGGACCCAGAGTTACCCATGGGTCCATCAGGAGGCACCCAGAGTTACCCAAGGGTCCATCAGGAGGTACCCAGAGTTACCCATGGGTCCATGGGGAGGTACCCAGAGTAACCCACGGGTCCATCAGGAGGTACCCAGAGTTACCCACGGGTCCATCAGGAGGTACCCAGAGTAACCCACGGGTCCATCAGGAGGTACCCAGAGTAACCCAAGGGTCCATGGGGACGGACCCAGAGTTACCCATGGGTCCATCAGGAGGCACCCAGAATAACCCACGGGTCCATCAGGAGGTACCCAGAGTAACCCAAGGGTCCATGGGGAGGTACCCAGAGTAACCCATGGGCCCATCAGGAGGCACCCAGAGTAACCCACGGGTCCATCAGGAGGTACCCAGAGTAACCCACGGGTCCATGGGGACGGACCCAGAGTAACCCAAGGGTCCATCAGGAGGCACCCAGAGTAACCCAAGGGTCCATCAGGAGGTAGCCAGAGTAACCCACGGGTCCATCAGGAGGCACCCAGAGTAACCCATGGGTCCATCAGGAGGCACCCAGAGTAACCCAAGGGTCCATGGGGAGGCACCCAGAGTAACCCATGGGCCCATCAGGAGGTACCCAGAGTAACTCAAGGGTCCATGGGGAGGCACCCAGAGCAGTGGCTGGCTGAGAGCCCGGGAAGCAACAGCCCAGCTCCAGGGAATCCCATCCAACTGCAGGCCGGGAAGGAGCAGCTCCAGCGTGGGCAGTGCTGAGGCTCCCTCTCATGGCCACCGCCACGGGGCGATCCGGGAGATCCACTCCGCTTTCGCTTTCCAGAAAAACACCAAGTGAAGAGAGTGAATTGTGCCAGGCTGGGAGGAAACCCCAAGCGTGCCCAGGAATGCAGCGGCAGCAGCACCGGTTCGGGGAGGAAGGAGCGACAGCAGGATGACCCAAACCCTGAGGTTTTCCCCCATTTTGTCGCCGTGACGAAATCTCCCATTTCCCAGCCGAGAAGCTCAGTGTTGGCACCCAGGATCCCACTCTGGAGAAACCCCCAGTGAGGCCTGAGAAGACTCCAGGGTGGGATCCTGGGGGAAACAGCCCTTCAGCATCTGGTAACTGGCGGCTTTCCCCGTCTGGGAGCGGGCCCTGGGCTGTGGCCAGGCTCGCAGCGGCCGCAGCTGTTCCTCGGGATCAGCTGGGATCCCGGGAAAAGCACGGACGGGGCAAGAGCTGCAGAGTGCTGGGATCCAGCTGGGATCCAGCTGGGATCCGCCGGCCTCTGCTCGAACCCCCCTCCACAGGGGCCCGAGCCTCCTTCCCCGGCCTCCCCCGCAGCCCCCGCAGCCCCCCGAGTTCAGCG